AATCAAAGCATTCAATTTCAAATTATGCACATTCAGATTCAATCTGAGCAATTCAAATTCACTTCCTGCTGGCACAGGATTTATCCCATAAAGGAGAAGCTGGTTTTTAAATTATCAAGATGTGCAGCTTTGAAGAGCTGCTTGTTTGGTCCTATTAAGTCACAAACGTAGCCCACTGCGAACGTTCACGTCTTCTTTCCATCTCTGCACTGCGGTTAACAAAAAAAAAGGCTTTTTGTCACATCCGGCTCTCTTGTTYATTTGCTAATTTTTCTCCAGTGACACCATATTTCGGTTTTATACAAGAAAATATTAACAGTTATTGTGGTAGTACATTAGAAAAACATTGATTAAAATTGCCTCCCGTGTTTAATATGACCCTTCAACTTTACAGATGACTTTGGTTAAGTTTTTGCAGTATACATACTTCAGTACTGTAATTCTAGAGCGCTATACTGCATTATGACATCTATGCAGGAGCTCTCCTTTTGAAAACATACAAGACTACAACCCAGAGTGTCCAGGTCTAAAATCTGGTGCAAATCTAGCTTTCTTCATTTCCAAAGTGTATTCCGATGCCAAGATTAAAACAGTCTAAACAGAGGTGGGTAACAAACCATCACACACAGCCTATACTGTATATAACGCAATTTTTCAAGCAGTGCACACTAAAATATGTTTTAAAAAATTGCTCAGAAAAAAAACTGGCTACATGGTTTCTTGGAAAATTTGCACTTTTTCCCAGTGAGGTCCTTCCTCAAGGCTCCTGTGAAACATGAAATGACCATTTTTAGTACTTTTACTGCAGCATTCTAAAAACAGYTAGGCAGTGACCCAATTAAAGAAAACCATGAATGTATTGTATAATAAATAAATAAAGTAATTTCTTAAGTGTTAAATCTAATCTAGCTTTCTCAAAAGGAAAAGCAAATTTACTTTTCTGAACCACTTATAACAATACATCCTAGCTTCTAAGAGGATTGAAATTGTTCATTTGCCTGCTTTCATGCCATGTTCATGTAAATTATGCTGACTGACTTTAAYAAAAATGGTCTGAAATCACACAAAATGACCCTTTCCACAATGGTGATAAAATACTCATTGAAAACTGGCAACTATATTTGGAAACTGCATCAGAATTGTTGGTTTTCTACCTTTTGGAGGATGAAGAACTGAATGCACTTGAAGAGTTTCCAAATGTCTGTCAGCTCTTACATAATAATAAAAAACCTGGAATGCAAACCTGGAATTTAAGGCCCACGAGGAATCTTCAGAAAAGCTAAAACCTGCACATGACCTTCTGAGTTTGTGCGTGAATATCCCAGGAAACATCTTGTCCTCAAACTACTCACCTGTCATGTTTTCACAGGTGCTCACGTGCAAGCATTCAAAACYCATCTGTTATGGCAATATTTATTTAACAAGRTACTGCATTTATGGTGTTAAAAAARGGCACTGAAGTCAGTTTGGTTTCAGTCTCACCTCGTTCTCCCTGGTTTCATACTTGGACGAGTGCTTTGCCTGACTTTTCCTCCTGATTTTCTTCAGGTCTGCATGAGAGCGCTCCAGTGAGTCCTGCTTCTGTTTGTGCTCCGTTTGATAACGCTTGAAGGTGGCCTGAGGACCAACATTTGGCATGAAAGACACAAGGAGACAAAGCAGATTGGCAAGTGTTGAAATAAATGTTCTTCAGAGGTGAGATGTTGAAACGAGGAAACTTACAGTCATGTACTTCACATCCATGTCTGTCTTCTTCTCCAGCTCAACAATAACCTCCTTGTGGAATCGCTTTAACTACAGGAAAGAAAATGTATAACACATGTTCACTGAAATCTGAGTAATCGTTCCTAACAGAAGTCACACATGGCTGAAAGGAAGTGAAGTAGTCTGATGAAGTACGGGTTTCTGTGAGGATGAAATTCCAACAGTCAGKGCTGGTTTATCAGATTACTGAGATAAAAGTTTAGAAATTTCACATCACAGATAACTTACTAACATATACACAATATTGAACTTCCTCCAAACCATTCTACAAAAGACTGGGAATAATGAGCTGCTGCCATGTTGAAAAAAAAGACATGAATTGAATGTGTCAGAAGTTATCTGAAGTGTTTCACATTGAAGCCAAAAGACAGCACAAAGATTACACTTTTGCATTCACGATAAACTCTAAATCTATATTACAACAGCGTAAAATTAAGACAAAAGGAATCAACTCAAAGTGTTGAAGCGTTGGTGTGTCATGGAAGAAGAAAGCAACATTTGATCAACATGCGAAGATACATAAATTGAACATTTTTAGCTCTAGTGAAACACTGGAAAGAAATGTTTTAGAAAATCACTGGTGTACCTGTGATATGATTTATTCTCCAGTGTCACCCAACATAATTTCAGCTAGAAACTAGGGATGTAACAATACATTGAKCCACAYTAATRTAYCGATTAAATGATTAATGRCTCAATTACATCAAGGCAAAATGAAAACATAGATCCATACTGTCATCATATGTCCGATGTGGATCAAAATCATAAGTCCATCCCATTGCAAAATTGTGAACTTAATTAAATTGAAATTGTGTCATCTGACTTTGTGATATCAAGAAACATTGTATCATCATCCAAACAAACTGATATTATATCCTCATGTGAAAAAAACTGGTGATTTTCACCCCTACTAGAAAATGGAAATAAATCTGTTGTGTAAAACCTGTGTTCATTTAGAAAAAAAATTTAACACAAAATAAATTAAAATTTCTGACATTTGCTTTCGTCCAGTTTAGTAATTTTCCTTACTGGTGTGTAGCTGTATCAAGATTTTCTAACTTCATCAGGGTTCCAGTTATTTGGATTAACTAAATACTGAAGAGAACAAACAAACTGCAATGTTTCTGTTGAAAATGTCCGACACAGTCTTTGTTTTTCCTCTGCTTCAATYATCTTGGAAGGGATTCTCTATTGGGGCTGCAGTGTTATACTTGAATAATACAAAGAAATAATTTCTGTAATAAACCTACAATTTCCCTACTTTCTCTTCARTCATCACATCTATGACAGCTAGAAACCAACTTATTAGTGAAATACATTATGAACATATAAAATGATTTTTGCATTGAATTATTGGAGTCCAAGCACTTCTTTGTAATATAGATATTTTACACATTAATTTTGTGAGATAATTTGTAGGATCGGGCTGCTCAACATATCAAAACTGTAAGATCTGTCCAGCTAGCACTGTTTTTTGTCTTTACATCTCTACATTTCTGTAACCTCACACAACATATTCATTTTTAGAACAAAGCACAAAAAAACAGGGTTGTTTCAATGAGTAGGCTTGTTTGTGCTGGCTTTTCTACAATCCATCACTGTAGCAGAAGTGTGATTCCCAGACGACACACAACATGCTGAGGGAGAATCCTGAAACCTTTGGGAAAATAAAATTAAAACTAAACTGTGGAATATTTCTTTGTTTTTGTAATTGTTTCTAAAACACGTCCTTTGCTCTTATTTCAGCCATATTTTTGGACGATGTGTGGTTTTGATCAAACAAATTGTAATAACTGTCTAACTTACATCATTTAACAATTCTTAAAATAACTTGCATACTTACTGTAAGTTTGGGCTACAGTACRTTGGATGCAGCAGCTTCAGCTCTGTCTACATTTTCCTACTAGCTAATTAGGTATGTACAAGTATGACATGGAAAGTGAYCAATTTATCTGTCCAGTTCTGGCTCATGGACATCTGTTTGGTGAGCTATTGAAAAAAAAAGGTCWATCTTATGCTATAAGTTTAATTTTATAGTGACTTACATTCTCCTCCAGTTCACTGTGGACCTTCCGGTGAACTTCTGCAATCTCCATCAAAACAACACCTACAAGAGATCGGTAACAATGTCAGATACTTTGCAAATATTTAGAAGAGTGAGTTGCTCTTTTACTTTTTGATCTTTCAAAGACAAAAATGTGAAGATGAGTTGGTGTTTTTCCCTTGGCTGTGCTAGGCGCTCGTTCTGACWCTTTAAACCCAGTCAAGCCATTCAGAACAATGGGCCTCATGCAAGAACATRTTCGTATTCTTATCCTAAATTTCTCTTACTTTTGTTCGTACRAAGGGTTCGTACGAACATGTCACGTCAGATTCAACAAACTCTATCTTCAGGAAAAGTGTGTAAATGAGCTGCGTAAATTCCACCTGTTCTATCCAGCTGCTCGTGCACGCGAGAGGAGATCAGCATAATTACCACCCCAAAAACACCATATAAGGCTATGTTTCCTGCCTCAGATACAAGGAAGTGTCCATTCATGAAAAATGACAGCAAAAATTAAAAAGAAGAACTTTACGAGTTCAGAGATTGAAGTCCGTCTGTCAGAGATCCAGAAAAGAAAATCTGTCATTTTTAGCAGGTCAGCTGTGGAATTAAAAGAGCTGCTAAAAGTATAAACAACTGTGTTAAATCATATTCATTTATTCAGAAGAGACAGCGCTGCGCACCGTACACCCCAGCGCGCTGCGCGGTCGCAGGTGGTCTCAGATGCGGGTTTGATATAAGCATTTCAAAATGTTTTCAAAATATGTCTGACACTTTGGAGAGAATCCACGACTTGCTGGAGGGATTATGTATCCCCTCTGGTCTGGGAACGTCTCGGTGTCCCCCAGGACGAGCTGAAAGGTGTCGCTGGGGAGAGCGGGGTCTCCTGCTGCCCCCCACGACCTGATCCCAGATAAGCGGCAGAAAACGGACGGACAGACAATTTATATTGTTAAGTCTAAATTATTACATTTAAAATTATAAATCTAATTCAAACAGAATAACCTATTGTCAACATAATTATAGAGTGTGATTTATTTTCAACTCAAAATATCTTCAAACTAACGAAATATAAAGTTATTAGTGAAGAAAACCCGTCTGGATAACAGCAGACTGACTGCTCGTTAAATATATGACAGGTCTGGACCACTCGTTAATTTTGTTCGTATCTGAAAAAAATCTTAGAATACGAAAACWTTGGTGAATGCCACAAATTCTCCTAAAYCACTCGTACGCACAATTTAAGAACAAATCTGTGCGTACGAACGGTTCTTGCATGAGGCCCATTGTTTGGTTTTTTTGCTTTATTTATGTAAGGCAGGCGACAACAAGCATTTAAGAACCTAAAAGCACAGGTCTAACAAGGGTAAAAACGTGCAAGGATATAAACATTCATGCAAGAGCCATCAGCAACAAACACTTTCAAAAATTCTTGTGTAACCTGTTTTTCCGTCATGCCTAGTATTCATTTTCCTGGTTCATATTTTTCAGATGACTTATCTTCTTTCAATATTTAGGCAGCCGGTGATATGTAATCTCTATGCAATGTTCTGGTAACTGTGCAGTCAGACAAAAAAACAGTCTCCATTCACAGACAGGGCAGCATATGACATGTAACAATGACACAGAGTCATACAGTAAACAAAGTGGACAGTCATAGCTAAGCAGTTTATAGTGCTACCTCCGTCACAATGGGGTGAAATCTAGATTTAAGGTTTACTACAGGACACAATATTCTGGTGGAACCTGCTGAAACACATTCAGTTCTTTTTTCTTTTTTTGCTAAACATCATATCTGAACATGTGACAGCGTCTGGGATGAAAGAAGAAAAAGTTAAAGTTCAGCAGAAAAAACCAAAGTGTGAGATTTGGGTTGTAGCCCGTGTCAGCACACCCCAAATCTGATCCAACACCTGACTGAGTGTAAGATACAGAGCAGTACCTCTGTGATACAGCATGGAGCACCCAGCTATAATAACATTGCCCTCTGAAGGTCACCAGAACGCACTGGTAAATGCTGCCTTTGTGTTTGAATGACAGGGTGGCAGTGGACGTTGAGCTGTTTGTACAGCCTCAGCAACCAACAGCTTGGGTTGGAAGGGGGATGCGGGAGCTGAGAAAGGCCATGAGAGGGGGGTTCAAAAGGGGCCATTGTACACCTGGTGGTTTCACCTTTGGGGCAAACAAGGTGTGAAAACCTACCCGAGGGAGAGTAAAGGCTACAGAAACTCATCACAAAGTGCAAGCAACTGAACAAATAAAAATGTAATGCAAGAGTGAAGAACACAACACAACGCTGCTCAATATTTCTCTCTTAAGAAACAATGTGCTATTTTTTTATTTTTTTCCAATGTCATAAAACAGCAGCAACAACAAAGAAATGCCTCATCTTTAACTTATCTCTTATCGGAGTCTGCTCATGCTGGTGATTTCCTCCCTTCAAAGAGTTTTAGGTACCRAGACAATCTAGTTTTTCTTCAATGGTTTCAAAATAAAGCTCTTTTAAGTGTGTGCTGATTCAAGCTGGAGATATGATCTTGTGGAAAACTTCACCGTCCATGAATCACAATTTGGCCCAAGATAGAGTATTATGAATTTCCACACCACCCATTCTGCTTGCCTCAAATTCCCACTGGACACATAAAGGCTTTATTTTGTAACTAAATATAAATAGATTTGACCTTTTCAAACACATGACCCTTGCTGTTAGTGTAAGTGCACAACTTGAAATTTTCTTAATAATCACCAAACTAAATTTTTGATCGATGCCAAAAGGAGAAAGACCTGAGTTCATGTTTTTGTCCAAGTCTGTATTTGTTTGTCTGTCGTTTTAGCAAAATACTTCATGAACCCTTGGATGGATTTTAATGAAAGTTTTGCCTGGATCAACTGATCAACTTCAAGAGTCCACACAACTGAAGATGGCCACCACAGCTAATTTACTTTATCYGACATAAATGGTTATAGTTTAATCAAATTAACAGAAACGTGATACAGTATGTCTGTAGTTCAGTCATCTTCAGCACATACTACATGATACAATACAACATCCAAGATCTGACATTAAATGCATGGGATATTGTGCGTAAAGCAATTTGAGGTTCGACCAAGCCAGACATAACTCTTTAATTTCTCAAATAAGATGATTTTAGTTTAAATTTCTGGCATTAACGGTGACAGGCRATGTGCAGCCCTTCCTTTCCTGACCTTTACTGACTGTTTTTCTGAAAGAAAAATCTGAAAGTGACAGATYTCAGAGTGTCTAACCTTTGATTTGGAGGACTGGCTCTGTTCAAATTAATTATTCACATGTTCTCCATGGTATCAGAAACCTCTTTGTCCAGACTTTCRAAGAAACAAAGAGGAACGCCTTTTCCATTCTGAAGAGATGATGTATTTTATGGGATGTAAACGCCTTGTGCCAACATCACAAATCCCACCTATTTATATTTGATAAGGAAAATTGGGAACAGTGATGATCTCGCCAGCTGACCTGTTGGCATGAGCACATTAATTTTTCTTACTGCCTCCGTTTGTCAGATAACTACATGATCTGTCATTTAGCCATAAAAAAGCCTTTATCTTATAACTCAGTTTCCTCACCGAGCGTGTTTGTCATCTTCTTATGCATGAGTCAAGATCAAATAAAATCTCCATTATCTTCATTCTAGTAGAAACTGTTGTGTTGCATTAGGTTAGCTAATCCTTTCCTGAACTCCTAATATAGTCACTGATTAAAGTTAAATCTGCTGTATGAATAACACATGRCATAGCAGCTTTTGTTGATCACCCACTGGATTTTCATGTTACAAAAAGACGGCTAAAAAAATCGACTACCTCAAAAAAATTGCGATGGACTTGCGACCTGTCCAGGGTCACCCCTCACACAGTGACTGCTGGATATGAAAGGAAGAAGTGGTTAAAAAATAATGGATAGATGGGTACCTCAAAAAAAGRTAGCAGGTGCCGTTTATTTTAATTTAACAGCTTCTTGCCAACCATATCATAACATCACATAGGTTCAGGGCTTTTCTGTCTGCAGCAGTGCAGCTTCTGTGTAACATGTTGATGTCAAAGCACAGAACCCTCTCCACCACACACCTGTAGAAATTGCAGAGGACGGAGCTCTCAAGTCTAGCCCATCTCAACAGCCTTAAAAAAGTAGAGCCACTGGTGTGCCTCCCTGACCAAACTGATAGAGTTTTTTCTCCAGGAGAGGTCATTACGCAGATGCATACCCAGGTACTTTAGTAGTAGTATGACACTACTTCCACCGCAGACGCTCCAATGTGCTCGGGTGGATGGGAACTGATTCCCTTCCTGAAGTCCACAATTAACTCCTTTGTCTTCCTTGTGTTTATGCACAGGTTGTTGATTTAGCACCAACCCATAAAGTGTTCCACCTCCTGCCTATGTCTGAACTCATCATTGTCTGTAACTCATCAAAGCATTGAAGTGCCATTCGCAAACTTTACGATATGACGGCCTGGGTGGTTGGGTGGGCAGTCAATTGTGAGCAGCAGGAAGGGACTCAGTACACAGCCCTGTGGAGAACCAGTGTTGAGGATCATGGTGGATGAGGAGATGTAGATCCTCACCGACTGCGGCCTGTTGGTTAGTAAGTCCAGGACCCAGTTGTAGAGAGAAGAGCTCAATCCAAATGTCTGCAGTTTATTAAC